AGTTGGGGCAGGGACTTTGGGGAAGGGGTTGGAATGGGGGCGGGGGCGGGGAAGGGGGCGGGGCCCCGTGGAGGGTCCTCTTTTTTAAATGTTTGAATATGGTAACCCTAGTCTCTGCAGCAGCCAGGGCCCGAGAAGGAACCTGGGACCTACAAGGAACAGACTGTGACCTGCCCCCTGACCTGGAGAAAGGGTCTGACCCCAAACTGCTACCCCCTGACCAGGTGGAGGGGCCAGCCCTACATGTATGCCCAACCCAGGGGATTGCACCCCAGCCCAATATGTGCCCCATCACCCCGGTGTCTATGAGGGACTTTGCCCTGCTCTCTGCCCAGCCCGAGGGTGGGAGGGTTCGGCCCTGCGGGGGCAGGCGAGTCCTGGTCACCGGCAGCGTGTCAGGCAGGCCCCGCCGTAGCATCCCCTCCAGCAGCCGCAGCTTGGAGGAACAGCTCAGGATCAGCATCGCTGGCCGGGATGGGCCTTCACAACTTCCAGCGGGACCCTGCGAGGGACACCTGCGGGGACAGGAGACCCATCAGTTCCCTGTGACTGTCTCCCAACCCTAGAGACAAGCTGCCAGCTCCCAGCCCTGCCAAAATAGCAAACACTATGTGTAGAGCCCACCATAGCTCACCCGTCTGTGCGCAGCCCCCCGTGTGTTCACCAGAGACCCTACAATAACTCACCAGTCTGTGTGGAGCCCCTGTGCTCACCAGAGACCTTGCAATAACTCACCAGTATGTGTGCAGCCCCTGTGCTCACCAGAGACACTACCATAACTCACCAGTCTGCGCACAGCCCCTGTGCTCACCAGATACCCCACAAGAAGAAGGCTGCTGTAAGGCCATGTGATGCCACTGCTGTCCGTACAGGGCTGGGGCTCCCACTCATCTGGGGTGACCCCGTGCCAGGGGAAGGAGCGGTTCCTGGGTGTCTGTGGAGCTGTGAGGTCCCTGCCTGTCTCTCCTTCAGGGGCCGCTCCAGCCTCTTATCCCCGAGCGAATGAACCATTAACAGAGTCTGCCAGTCCTGGAGCCCAGAGGCAGTGACATCCCTGCACCTGCTTGGCACAGTTGATTGGGATTTTGCTCTGGGCAGAGGTGGAGGCAGGGCCAGCTCCAGCATTTCTGCCACCCCAAGCAAAAAAAAAAGCCACGATTGGCGGCACAGTTCAGCGGCAGGTCCTTCGCTCCTAGAGGGAGTGAGGGACCTGCCACCCCCGAATTGCCGCAGGTGCCGCCCCTCTCCCTTGGCCACCCCAAGCACCTGCTTGTTAAACTGGTGCCTGGAGCCGGCCCTGATTAGAAGTAGGAACAATTCTGTAGAAAATCCACATCTAGGTATGCAACAAATGAAGTCACAGAAGAGTGAAGTCTGCACTTCAATGTTTGCAGGATGGGGATTACCTACACAAAGAGAATTTTTAATAAGTTTTCAATTACAAAGTGTGTGGGGAGGAGGAATCACATGTTACTGGAAGTCCAAAACAGTACAGGATGTTATAGGAATGTGCAGCTGTTTTAGGGATATGGATTCCTGGGGAGAGGTAACTGCAAAAGTACCAACCTAGTGCACCCTAAAGGCTCAGAAAGAAAAATGCAAATTAAAAGACCCCAGAATGAATTTGTTTATTTAAATCTCATGTCTTTTGGGTGTATAACTGGTTATTTTTGAATGCTTGTGGCTGTCAATCTATCTTGGGGTTGTGTAGCTAAAATTACAGTAGAAATTTGCCTTTGAGAAGGATTTCATACAAGATAGCATAGTGCTTAAATAAAGGCACCAGTGGGATTTTCAAAAGTATCAAGGTGCTTTCAACCCTTACACATCTGGCCTGTGTTGAATATTTGGGAACTGACCTCTACACACAAGTGGTGAGGTGAAAAAGCAGGAGGGTGCTAGATTGGGAGGCAATCGCTGACAAAGGCAATTCCCATTGGTGGATCAAAGGAAACTGGAAAAGTTTGAAGAACAAGGTGTACTTGTGGCATTTTAGAGACCAATACATTTATTTGGGCGTAAGCTTTCGTGGACTAAAACCTACTTCATCGGATGCATGCAGTGGAAAATACAGTAGGAAGTTATATATACACACAGAGAACATGAAACAATGGGTGTTGCCATACCAACTGTAATGAGACTAATCAATTAAGGTGGGCTATTATCTGCAGGAAGAAAAAAAAACGTTTGTAGTGACAATAGCCCACCTTGTCCTTTTTGCTGATACAGACTAACACGGCTGCTACTCTGAAACCTGAAAAAGTTTGGACACCAAGCTAGGAAATCACTCCATCTCACGGCTGGCTCCAGGGTTTTGGCCGCCCCAAGCAGCCAAAAAAAAAAAAAAAAAAAGCTGCGATCATGATCGCGATCTGCAGCGGCAATTCAGCGGAAGGTCCTTCGCTCCGAGTGGGAGTGAGTTACCGTCCGCCGAATTGCCGCCGAATAGCTGGACGTGCCGCCCCTCTCCGGAGCGGCCGCCCCAAGCACCTGCTTGCCAGGCTGGTGTCTGGAGCCGGCCCTGGGTGGAGGGGCCTCCGGGGAAATGCAAATGCCCCCAGAATGCACCAGGGCCAGGGGCAGAGTGAGAGCAGGGGCTGCCTGACCCCCCTTCTCCACCGGTGCCCCTCAATCACCACCTGCAGCCCCCTGCTATGCCGGCCTGGTCTTGGTCACTGTGTGTCTGTGCCTCACCCAGCACTATGGGGCCCCACAGCAGGAAATGCATTTCCTATAACATACCAGGATTCAGCTTGGCCCTTCTCATAACATTTGAAAACCCCAGCCTCCTGGAAGACAGTGCCATGGTGAATAGAGCCATTTTGGGTCAGATCAGCCAGGTGGGGCGAAAAAAACAACAAAACCAAGGGACTGGTCCCTGTGACAAAGTGGGAATTTGTTGTATTTTTTATGACCCCTGTATGTGCCTCAGTTTCCCCTATGTGTTGCAGTGTTACCTTGTGGGGCGAAAAGGGAGCAAGTTTGCTCTCAGGGCAGGCTACGAGGCATAGGTGGGTGTCACCTCCCTGTCTGGGTAGAGGAGGGAGTCATTAAGGAACTAGTTGATATTGACCCACATCAACAAAGGGGCCAGAGAGACAATGCAAGCCCCCAGGGCTTATGGATTTCCCCGCCTCTCAGCAGGGAAGCTGAGCAAAGACCCCACCTCAAGAACAAAGGACTGAGGGAGGAAGGTAGGGGACTGTGACTGAATGTACCCTTGTGTGCACACCGTACCCACCGTTGTAATAATCTTTGTACAATCTTGCAAGGTATTATTTGTAAATGTATAATTTGCCGGTCAGTATTGCCCTGATCTAATATGTGTGTGGCAACATTGTACATGAAGTGAGAAGATTCCCCTTTATGATGTTAACAGGTGCTCTAACCTGAGGTTGGCAAACTGGGCTGTCTCAACAAAGGAATGGGTGCTCTGCTTAATTTGCATTTAAGCAACAATCAGAGTCATCAAGCAGGAAGGGAAACAAAAGAAACTCCAACAGGGGAGGAAAAAGCAGGAGGGAGAATCCTTCCCTACAGACTCTCTCTCCTGAATCTCAGCTGCTAATGTTTTCCAAGTGTTTCCAGCCCGTGTGGAGAAAGAAGTGATTCCGGACTATTTAGAAAAGCTGGACGAGCACAAGTCCATGGGGCTGGATGCGCTGCATCCGAGGTTGCTAAAGGAGTTGGCAGATGTGATTGCAGAGCCACTGGCCTTTATCTTTGAAAACTCATGGCAAGTGGGGGAGGTCCCGGATGACTGGAAAAAGGCTAATGTAGTGCCCAGGAAAAATCATGGAGCAGGTCCTCAAGCAATCAATTTTGAAGCACTTTGAGGAGAAGAAAGTGATCAGGAACAGTCAGCATGGATTCACCAAGGGCAAGTCATGCCTGACTAACCTAATTGCCTTCTATAATGAGATAACTGGCTCTGCGGATGAGGGGAAAGCAGTGGATGGTCTCCGACAGTATTCTTGTCCGCAAGTTAAAGAAGTATAGGCTGGATGAATGGACTATAAGGTGGATAGAAATCTGGCTAGATCATCAGGATCAATGGGTAGGGATCAATGGCTCCATGTCTAGTTGGCAGCCGGTATGAAGCAGAGTGTCCCAAGGGTTGGTCCTGGGGACGGTTTTGTTCAATATCTTCATTAATGATCTGGAGGATGACGTGGACTGCACTCTCAGCAAGTTTGCAGATGACACTGAACTGGGAAGAGTTGGAGATATGCTGGAGGGTAGGGATAGGATACAGAGGGACCTAGACAAATTAGAGGAAAGTCGTTGAACAAAATGCAGTGGCTGGGAAAAGGAGCGAAATGGCAAAGGCCAGCCAGGAACAAACTGAACTGTCTCATGGCCCTGAAACCGGTGTGTTCTGGGGAAAGTTGAAGAGACCACAGAAAGCCAGTTTGGACTGGCACAAAGAGCACCGGGAGCAGAGTTCCCTAAACAGAGCACCCCCGCCCCCCCCCGACCGACCCCGAGGAGCCAGGACTTAAAACCCTCCTGAGAGCTGAAGCAACTTGGAGAGCACAATGGATCCTTGGACGGCCTGAGCCCAGGACAGCACTACCGTCCACCTTTCCCCCCCGCCCTTCTTCTGACGTTACACACAGACTTGGCCAGTCTGGGTTGTGCGTGTGTGAGTATGAAAGTGGGTTAGGGCTTTAGAGCATCCCTCAGTGATGTCGGAGCGTTCCCAGCACTCTCGGCTGTTATTTTATTATTTTATCAATAAAGCTTTAAAATTCAGACACTTGGTGTGCCTCGTCATCTCCTCCCCAAAGAGATCCTGTGGCCCCGGCCTGATCAACTGTGACGTCAAGCAGATTGGTAACAGAAATCTGTCACACTCGCCTGCTACAAACACGGGCCCAGGTCTGAATCACGTCCCCCAAAAGATGCAGGCTTAACTGAAAACAGCTTAAGAAGTTCTCCTGTCTCCAGCACCCAGATGCCCAGTTCCCAATGGGATCCAAACCCCGAATAAATCCGTTTTACTCTGTATAAAGTCTCTTCATTGTTTTTGCCGATACAGACTAACACGGCTACCCCTCTGAAACCTACCTTATTTAAAGGAATCTCAGCCAGACCTGGAAGAGCAGGAGAGGGTCTAATGATGAACACATTGGGTGTGTCTATGCAAGCTCTGTGGCCAGTCCATAGCTGGTATGGGAACATGACACCAGGGTTTCCTGCCGATCAGGAGTGGACAGACGGGGACACTGTTCCCACCACACGACATTGTCATAAATGGAGTTACTGTCCCACTCTAGTAACCCTGGCCCTGCTACCATCCAGCTGTGATACAGCAGCCCAGAACGCTGTCCTGGGGAGAGAGCCGGCCAGTGAGGGGGCAGCTCGAGCTGGGGACAGGGGGCTGGGAATCCTCCCAAAGGGGCAGCTGGAAAAAGCTGTTAGAGAAGAAGGAAAAGAATCGAGATGTGGAGTGAGCAGAGGAACCGGAGGTGGGGTAGAAAAAGAGGTGATAAAATAAAAGAAGAACAAGAGAATAAAAGCAGGAGACTGGGAAATGAGAAGGAGGAAAAACGAAAAATAGGAAAGGTTTGGGGTCAGGAGAAGCAGAAAAAAAATAGAGCTGGGTATATGAGCAGGTACGATGAGAGAAGGGAAGTGGGGGAAAATAAACTCTACAGACTTACTCAGAAAGAGAGGATCAAGGGAAAAAACTGGAAGAAAATACAACTGGGGAAAAAGGGAATTGATCAAAAGGCTATTGGAGAAGCAAAGTGGAGAGAAATAAAATCTACAGACTTACCAGAGAGAGAGTATCAAGGGGACAGAAAAAACTGAAAGGAAATAGAACTGGGGGAAAAGGGAATTTATCACAAAGCTGTGTTAGATGCAAACAGATCCTGAAAAGGGTAAATGAGGAACCCACCCACAAAGGACCTACGTTAC